GTTTATACAGCATAAAGTCAAACAGTCCAGACAAGAGCAGTATCTTGTCCAAATGGCTAGTCTTGCCAAATTGGAAGTAAACTTCATAACGTGTTTCTTTGATGTCCATCTTCCTTTCTGATGCAGGTGGTATTGCCAGGAGCATTTATGTCTCACTGTCAAGAAAAACCCTAAACCATTTTAAATGCCATATTCTGTAGGTCTTTGAAAGGTTTGAAGAATGCCTATCCATCTCAAATATATCTTGAAAACCTAAGTAGCTTAACTCTAAGTTTTGACTATCATAGGTAACTATCTATAATCTGTACTAATTTATACATTGCATTTCTAAATGAGCTTTATAAACACAATACCTAAACAAGAGGAGAAATATACATATCACAAAATTGACCTTAAATTTGTATCAATAAATGAAAATCCATTCCAAAACAAAGTATTCATATCTATACCACAATCCCCTTTTACCTTTAAAAAGATATTGGTTGTGATCATTAACCATTTATAACCAACCCCATTTAAATGAAAACAAACATTTATCATTTGGGAATTTGGGCGTTGTTCTTTCCAAACTGCTTCCTGCTGATAGGGGGCGCTGTCATTGGGGATCCTAAGAAGATGCAGAAATCCTGTCTGTAGTCTGCAAGGCTGCCTTGTTCAAGCGGTTTTGAATGTTGAATCACCAGGAATGCTGTTTCAGGGGGTCTGGCTTGATCAAACCACATTAGTCTGTAAGGAATCCACAGCTTTTCATTTTCTGTGGAAACAAAATTAGAAATCCTTTTCCCTAGTAACTTGCCCTTGGACTTAAATTTTGAAGTCAAAGCATGTTTAAAATATATAAATTGTATTGATCCAGCAGCATTTGTTTTAACAGTTGTTGTTATTTCCTCAGAAGTCAAACGAAAGACAATATATCGTACAGTATCCAGATTCTCTCCATCTTATGTGGCTTTTTTATTACTCTGTTTCTTTTACTTCTATTTTTTTTAATTTTTGAGACAGGGTTTCTCTGTGTAACTTTTCTCCATCCTGGAATTCACTCTGCATACCAGGTTTACTTTGCAATCACAGAGATCTGCTTACCTCTGTCTCCCTAGTGCTGGGATTAAAGGTGTGTGCCATCACACCCAGCTCCTCTCTGTCTTTTTAAAACCATTTTATTCTTTTTCTCTCCCAAGCCTACATATGTTTTAAAACACACTGTAAACCTTTAGCTATTTTTCTTAATGTGAATCTGTCTTTACTGTAAATCTTTATCTTTTTCTGGCCACGAGTCTTTTATCCAGTAAACAACAACAACATTGCTAAAATGAAAGCTGCGGCTATCCAAGATAGCGGCGGGTACTTTTACCACCAGAACTGAGAGCTGTGCTCACTGCCTTGGTCTGCACTGCCATCAGCAACATGTTGCTGGCTTGGAGATGTGGTCACTGCCATTGCCAGCTCTCGTACACACCAGTAAGTTGTTAGCAGAGCTCTTTAAAAGCCAGGTGGTTTTTTGCCGCTTATGCTGAGTCAGGACATCTCCCTTAAAGGAGCCGAGCAAATCTTTGCTTGAATCTAGCAAAACAGAGTCCAACCGAGAAAAATGCTGCTACCAAGAAGCTTTGCTTGTCTCAGTTCTTTTGTTTCTAAAATCCTTTTTAAGCTTTTGTTAAATTTTAAGTGGAAGTTCTTATTAGCCACATTGCAGTGCCAGAATGACATCTCCCATCAGACAAACATGCAGACAAAACATCCATACATGTAAGATTGGAGAGGGGATAGTTTAGCGTAGCAGAAGGATTCATTCAGAAGAATTGGAGATCTGGTTTTTTTTGGGGGGGGGAAGTCCATTTGCTTGTTGTTTTTTGTTTTGTTTTGTTTTTTGAGATGGTTTCTTGGTGTACCCTGGAACTTGCTCTGTAGACCAGGCTGGCCTCAAACTCACAGACATCTGCTGAGTGCTGGGATTAAAGGTATGTACCACCACTGCCCAGCCCAGCAGGAGTTGGAGATCTGCAAGGATGAGTCTCTCGGGGGACAAATCAGGCACTGAGAAGCTGTTCTCACACCCTGCCCCTCATAAGTCACGTCTCATTTTAAGTCTCATGTCGTGCACCCTCTCCAGTCTGCTCAGTCTGTGTGCCAGATTTTCCTACATCTCCATGAAGTGTGGGTTTGGCCTTTCCCAGTTTCCCTTCCAAACAAAGAACTGAGACTAAGTAGGATTAAGGTCTCACATTCCCAGAAGTGGACTTGGTTGATGTGGCAGAGCTCCACAGTGCTCTCAACCGTGGCTGTACTTGGACCACTGGGTGCTCTAGCAGGTAGATGCTTGTGTGTTTCATTACTACAGATTCTCATCCCACTTCTTTGGATGTTGCCTAGGCAACTGGGATGTTTTTAAAGTTCTTAGGAGATTGCAAGGAGAGAATGGAGTCAAGCTGAGGTCATGGGTGCTTACAAAATAGAGACTATATCTGCACTAACCTAGTATAAACTGTAACTTTTCTTTAAAATTTAGGGCTGGGGATATAGCTCACTTGCAGAACATTTTTTATTGGGATTTGGAGTACCAGAGATAATGACAACAGTATCCAAACATGGGGAATATTAGAAACAGGTACAAGAAAGCCAAATTAGGAAACAGTAGCAGGCAGTACAAGAAGAAAAAGGCAAGCCCAGTCTTTAAGACATTTACAAAGTGAAACTGTACAAAACAGTAATGTCAGTGTCTCATGAGTCACTATGTATTGAAAAATACAGGACTAGGAAAACTGCCATTGTTTTGTGGAGGAAGTAAAATAAAATGTTGAAGCTCATACGTTGGGAAAGGCAGTTTACACACAATTATTAAGGTAGGTAGCTTGAACATCTCAACTCTACAGGTTGGAAACAAAATTAACAATAGTATGTGTTGTGGCCAAGGTAGAGTCCTGGAAGCCTGATATTGCTGATGTGTAATGTTAGTCATGGGAAGGGTGTAGCATCATTTACAAATATGAAAAGATGTGTAAGAAAAGGAAGAAGGTGGAAAGGTGATCAGGCGAGGAAAATGGAAGGTGAGGTAGGTTAGCACTGAGTGGCAGAGGGCCTGGAATGTTGGGTCTAGAGGACCTTAAGTGGAAAATGTTCACAGAATCTGGCATTTGAGGTTTGGGAAAATGTGTCATGATTTGAAAGACAAATTTTGGGAGTGTAGCCCTCCTTTTTTCCAGTTTCACGTGTTTTGTTTTTGTTTTTTTTAAAGCAAATGATTTATTTATTATGTATACAGTCTTCTGTCTGCATGATAAAAGAGAGCACCAGATCTCATTACAGATGGTTGTGAGCCACCATGTGGGTGCTGGGAATTGAACTCAGGACCTCTAGAAGAACAGCCAGTGCTCTCAACCTCCAGCCCTTCAGTTTCACTTTAAGGTGTTATCAGCCTCCCCATGTTTTTCTACTCAAACCTGGAAGGAAGAGCTTAGATGTGAAGGTACCTTCTCACCCATCCAGACTGGAGAGTTTTGCCTTTGAGTGTTTCAAAGCACAGGGTTCTGTCTCCCTTTGCATCCATTCTCCTTATCTCCCTACACATTTATAGACCCTGTACTTCTATGCCTAATTAAAAAAAAAAAATCTGTTGATGACTAAGTGTTTAAGTACACATAGAAAAATCCTTACAAATGTACAAAAACCACTGACAACTAATGTACCAAAGTTAGAGATCTAAGATTAATGTTCAAAATAAACTATTTCTATATAATAGTAGTGAGCAGTTGAAAATGGAATTTTTAAACCATGCTAGAGGGGAAAATACAGTTAAAACCCTAAAGAATATATTTGCAGTAGCATACAATTACATAGAAATCGTTAATGAAAGCGTTGGAAGGGTGTACATGCAAAACTTTAAAAGCATTGCTGAACAAGCAAAAGGTGACCTAAATGAATAAACTAATAAACTCAAGTTGACAGTTCTTCCCAAACCGAACCACAGATTCAAGACAATTTTAGTCAGAACCACATCTAGCTTTCTATATGTTTTAAAGAGCTCTTTAAAATTCATACAGAAAGGTGGGCCAGGCAGTGGTGGTCCACGCCTTTGATCCCAACACTCAGGAGGCAGAGACAGGTGAATCTCTGAGTTTGAGGCCAGCCTGGTCTATAGAGCTAGTTCCAGGACAGCCAGGAATTTTAACACAGAGAAACCCTGTTTTGAAAAACCAAAAGAGGATCTGTGGAAATTCATATAGAAAGTTAGTAGCATAGAAATTGTATCAAAAGTATACAGAGGACTAAAACTCAAAGAGAAAACAACTTTGGGTAGAGCAAACCCTTGGAAGGTGGAGATGATCGCTGTCTGCATAGTGAGCTTGAAGGTAGCACAGACTACATGAAGTTCTGTCTCACAAAAACCTTTTTAAGTAGAGTGAAAATACTCTTCACAACACTATTATGCCAAATATGTGTCATTAATTTGTTAAAACACACACACACACACACACATACACACATAGAATGGAACTGGGCAAAATGGCACATGCCTGTAATCCAAGCATTCGGGAGGCAGAGGCAGAATTTCTGTGAGCTCAAGGCCAGCCTTGTGTATAAAGACCTTGACTCAAGAAGCCAAAGGGGGTCTGGGGGCTCAGTTGCTAAGAGTACTAGCCTAGCCCTCATGAAGCTCTGGCTCAGTACCCAGTACCTCAGTAAACAGGCTATGATTGTATATTCCTGTAGTCCCAGCACTCCAGAAGAGAGACAGAAGATCAGATTGTCTGGGGATTAGTTCAGGACTTGGCAGGAAGAAAGCCTATATTCAGATCTTGTCTTTTTCTAGCTTTGTAGTGTTGGCTGTACTGAGCCCTGTGCTGCTTGCGTTTTCACCTAGTGCCGGGATCATCAGTCTAGGGTCCTCTCACTATAATAACTTGACTGCACTTCAGTGCAGTGCAGTGTTAAGACTTATGCCACTGACCAGGAATCTGTCGTGTTTGATGCTGCTGACATGGTTCAATTTTGCTGTGCTACAGGTTCAGCTTGTTGGTTTAGATGAAGAGAGTTCAGAGTTTATTTGCCGAAACACCTTTGACCACCCATACCCCACCACAAAGCTCATGTGGATTCCTGACACAAAAGGCGTCTATCCAGACCTTCTGGCGACGAGTGGTGACTATCTCCGTGTGTGGCGGGTAAGCAGGTGCTTTAGTAGCAGACAGCTGCAGTATGGGGCCCTGAAGAGTCATTGCAGCTGCAGCATGGAGGAAACAAAGGACATGCGTCTGGACTGATCTTGTCTTAGCTCAGTGGGTTTTCTAGGAAATCTAGTCCAGGTGCTGTAGAGTCTTGCTGCTGGCCTCAGGCAACCTGGTGGTGATGGGGACAGTCTTCTGTGAGGCAGAGAACACTGGGACCTCTTACTCTATTGATAGTCAAGATATTTTTGAGTAAATAAATCCCGCTGTTGATTCTAGTGTGCTAAGTGCATGGATTGTCCCTTTCCAGCTGAGCTCAGAACAGGGTCATCCCTGTGCTTGGGGTTCTAGGGCCCGCAGACAGGCTGCTAAGCTCCAGACGAAGGCTTGGATGCAAAGCTAAAGAGAACGCTAGGAAAGGGGCAAGTTTGGAAGTCCCAGCTCCTTTGGGTTTTATTACCCTTTATCATAACATTATTTTCTCCCCTTGTCTTAGATTGACTAAGCAGGACTTGAAGGGGGTGTGCAGGTGTGCGTGTGTGCAGGCTAATGTCTCAAGTTGTCCCTCAGGTTGGTGAAACAGAGACCAGGCTGGAATGTTTGCTCAACAACAACAAGAACTCAGACTTCTGTGCTCCCCTGACCTCCTTTGACTGGAACGAGGTGGACCCTTATCTTTTAGGTGAGAGCTTTGAATTCCAGGTTGAAGAAAATGAAGACACATTTCCTCGGATTCTGCCTCTGTTTTTATCTGGGGGCGGGGTGGGGATTGAGGCACACACCTTGTCCTAGAATAGCCAAGGGTGAGATGGGCTAAATATGGAAAGTGGTTACTGATTTCTTCTGGGAGCTCTGCTCTCCCTGTGCGTCTGTCACATCTCTCCAGCTAAAGTCTAAGGTCTTGCAGGTGTGATGTTATGCACCTATGCCAGCACTTGGGAGGTGCAGGCTGGAGGGTCTTAAGTTCAGTGTCAGCCTGAACTGTATCAGGGAATTCTGTTTCAAGAAATTCTCCTCCCCACCCCACAAGAAACAAGTCAGTGCTCAGGAAGTGCTATGGTCGGTTGCCCCCTGGGCCAAGCAGATGAGAAGGGGGTCTGCCCGGAACCTCAGCTCGCCAGCTCTCACGCTCTCGCTTGCTCTGGTGTCTGCAGGTACCTCAAGCATTGACACAACCTGCACCATCTGGGGACTAGAGACCGGGCAGGTGCTGGGACGAGTGAATCTCGTGTCTGGCCACGTGAAGACCCAGCTAATTGCCCATGACAAAGAGGTAATGACGTTTTTCCTTGCCTTCGTTTTTGCAGGTGCTTTCCGTACCTGCAGGTGAGAGGTCGCCCGTTCTCTCACTGCTCTGCAGGTTATGTAGATCGCAGTGTTGGCATGTGTCTTGTCTACGTTGAAAGTTACCATGTTAAAACAGAAAACGACACTTACAATTGAACACACCTTTTAAAATATTTATTACTATTAGTATGAGAGAGAGAGAAAGTGTGTATGCATGTGCAGGCACACGTGTACCACGGTGCATGTGTGAGGTCAGAGAACAACTTTTGGAGTCAGCTGTCCCCTCCTGCTGTGGGTTCAGGGGACTGAGCTAGGGTTGTCAGGCTTGCAGAGCAAATGCTTCTAACCTATAGCTGAGCTGCCTCACCAGCCCGAGTGCATCATTAAACAATACTAACCTGCGATCTGTCATTTTACTTTCATACTAGAGGTTGCTGGGGGTACTTTTAAAAAAATTGATTATTTGGGAATCTCACATCATGCTTCTTGATTGAGCTCACCTTCTAGTCTTCCCATGTCCATCCCCTTCTACTGACCTCCCCCTCAAACAGTGGAAAAAAACAAGTCTATTTTGTGTTGTCTGTGTATTCACTAGAGCATGGTTAAATTCCCCCAAAGGAGGATGAGTCTATTTCTGCCAAAAGCCATCAGCTGAGGAGAGCCTTGTAGTGGCCAGAGCTGGTGAGGTTAGTTCTCCCATGCCCACACCACCACCCATGCCATGGAGTGCTGGGACTGGTGGGGGCGGGGCCAGAGGTTGCTGGTTTTTTAATGAAGTCTCTTATAGACATCCTAGAAGCTGACGTGGTTAAAGAGTAACACTTCTCTCTAAATATGATGGCTTCTTGGAGATAGGGGGAATTTCATGACAGACAATCCTAATTAGCTGTTTTTTCTCTAAAACCATTCTGTGAACTCTGGTATGTTTACTTAATCTTTTAACTTTCAGTCCTGTTTGAAAGCAAATATGCCTTATTGATGTTGTTTCTTCTGTGTTTGCTGGAAGCTGATGGGGGTATCCTCTGGTGGTTTGGAAGAAGTAGGTATCACTGTGCTCCCACAGAGCCTGTGTCCTTCTCTGGTTTCATTTTGTGCCCTTTTACCTGCCCAGCAAATGGTATCTGTATTTGTATAAGAAAAAAGATGCTTTAAGGTCATCAGCAAAGTGGTGCCAGGTTGCCATTCTGAGTGATCTTTGGTGTTGCACTCCTGAGAGTAGGAGCTGTAGATAAAGGAATTTACGGAAATGTCAAGTGGAAAGTCCTCTGTTCCCTCCTAGAGCCAACCCAAAAGTGGGAACTGCTCCCCAAGTGTCTGAGAGTATAGCTCGGTGATTGAAAGCTTGGCTAGCTAGCATCCATGAGGCCCTAGGTTCAGCCCCCATTATGGGGGCAGAGGGTCTTACAAGAATAAGCCTAAGTGATTTAAACCAAGAGAATTCTTATAGAGTGAAGGAATTGAGAGGGTAGTAGCGGGGGCTACCACTACCTCTAGGCTGGAGGCTATGGCTCCCAGAGTCTGGGTTTACATGGCAAAGATGCTTCTGAACAGAGAGAGGAAGAATAAGCAGCCAGCAAACCTGTTACTCAGCCAAACCTGGCCTATAGGAAGCAGGTTTCATTCAGTGCAGAGAAGAGCCGGGGGGACTGGAATGGATGAGAGCAAATGACAAACTAGGAAGAAGGAGCCTACAATGGCAGCTCTGCTGAGGAAAAGCCCTGGGGTGGGGTTTAGGACATTGGGAGTGGCCACCGTCCCTCTTTCCGGTGGGGCACAGACTAAGGAACAGATTCAGTTCCAGCACCCACATGGCAGCTCATAACCATCTATAACTCTAGTGCCAGGGTGTCCTATGCCTCCTTCTGGCATCTGCAGGCACCAGCTACTCATGTAGTGTACATACATAACAAGCAGCCAGAACACTCATACAGATAAATAAAAATCTCTTCCAAAAAAGTGTAGGTCCTCTAGACACTCTGGATGCTAAGGGACAAACACTGCTAGTAGGTGCCCGTCTATTTCTGTTCAGCATGCCAAGCCCCCTTTTCTCTAACGGTGAAGTACCTCTCTCTGGTAAAGATTAAGAGTAGTTCTGAAGGGCCAGATAATGACACATGTCTGCATTCCTGTCACTTGAGTGGTAGATGCAGGCGGATCAAGAGTTCTGGGTCATCTCCTGCTACATAGTAAGTTTAATGCTAACCTGGGCTACATGAGACCCTGTCCTTAAAACAAGAAAAGAGTGATTAAAAGGGGATCCTGGCTGCTTATAACTCTAGCACTTAGGAAGTAAAGATGGAACAATCTAAAGTTTGATACCAAGCATAGCAAGACACTATCATAGGCCTGGCACACTGGATAGACAAGGCTTTGTCTAGTGCTGTTCAGCTACATAAAGACATATATACCACAGCCCCTACCACATAGCAGGTTTGAGGCCAACCTGGGCTACATATTTTTATTTTATTTTTCTCCCTTCCTTTCCTCTAACTGGATGCTTAGATCGGCTTTAATAAAATTACACCGTGTTGAGGCACACCTTTAATCCCATACTGAGAAGACAGGCAATGTGAGTTCAAGCCCAACCTGGTCTATACAGTTGAGACCTTGTCTCCAGAAATAAATAAATAAAATAAAATAAAATAAAATAAATTTTCACTTTAGGGCTGGGACTATAAACTCAGTAGTAGAGCAGTTGACTACCGTGATGGGGCTTAATCCCCAACACTTTGAAATAAAATAGTAATAAAATAAGTCTGGAGGGTTTATATGTAAGGTACAGTGTTAGATATTTATTTTAAGAAAATCAGGACTCTGTAAGAAGGCTTCTCAAGGGTTCTATTCAGAACCAGCTGGAACATAGGATGACTCTGCTCTGTCCCTTAGCAACCTAAAAAACATGACCTCAGCATACATGTTCTCCCTGTCTTATGTTTCCTTTTTTGAGACAGGACCATATCAGGTTGCCCAGGCTAGTTTTGAACTCATTTTATAGCTAAAGCTGGCCTCAGACTCAGAATCCTGATTGTTGAGATCACAGCCATATACTGTCTGTCATTCCCAGTTCAAATTATTTTGGTTGAAATCCCAGTGGTTGCTTAGCCCTTCTGAAACTGCTGGAGTGTTTGCATTCCCCGGGAAGGTGTAAGTAAGTGCTGCTACTGCTGCAAGTGACCAAGTGTAAGACTGTCCCTCAAAAACTGAAGATTCATCATTTAAGAATCACAGACCAATGCTTCATACTAGTTATCCACTTCTGAAAATCACACTTTCAATATCCAGTTCTATGTTTCCATTTAGCAAAGATATTATAAAAAAAAAAAATGAATCAGTGAATCTTCTCAAAAGGAAACAAAAATTCAGTTCTTCAGGAGTCTTTTTCTTTCCTTCTTTATTTTGGTATCTCAAATGCTAATGATCACAAAAGCTTCTGGTTTCTCTTCATTATAAACTTGCATTGCTGAGTATATTATTGTTTTGACTTCTGTTCCCTGAGGGTGCTTGGACAATGAAAATTCTTCTCCCCACCCAATGGACCATAACTTGAAATTTTTTGGATCAGTATTAAATACTTGCACTCCCCAGGTATGAACTGGCCATCAACACTAGACTTGTAAAGGCACTCATCCAAAAAGTGAAGGAGTAGCATCTGCAAGTCTTTTCAAGATTGATTTATATTTATTTTATGTATATGGGTGTTTTACCTACATGTTATGTTTATCCTTGCACCCCATGTGTGCACAGTATGAGGAGGCCAAAGGGAGTGTCAGATCCTCCAGAACTAGAGTTAGACTACTCTTAGCTGAACCTGGATCTTCTGCAAGAGCAGCAAGTACTCTTAACTACCAAGCCATCTCTCCAGCTCCCAGATGCCCTTTTAAAAAACAGAAACAGAAGTTGTGATTACCTTTTGCTTACAAAAGGATCTCAGGTCTCGGGTTTTTAGCAGACCCAGCTTGGCAGAACCATATTGTGGTTTGTTGTGAAACTACATCTGATTGCATGTGCAAGTGAAATCACTAACACCCAGAAAATTACTGCCTTAGGCTTGGAACACAGAGTCCTTGTTCAGACTTAGGTATTCTCTGCCAGTCAGCTGGGTGTGTAGTTTTTGTTTTATTACCAGGTTTTAAGAGAAAGAGTAGAAACCAGGCATGGGAAGAAGTTGGCCAGGACTGGAAGTAAAATGATGTTTATTCTCTGAGAAGCCACTAACATTCCTACTGTTGTGTCATGAGTTGGGGTTCACGTGAACTGGAAGTGACAGGTTTCCATCCTGTGGGAAAAGGAGGTGACTGATGTGAACCTGACTCTTCTCACCAACAGGTCTATGATATTGCGTTCAGCCGAGCCGGAGGTGGCAGGGACATGTTCGCCTCTGTGGGTGCAGATGGCTCTGTGAGGATGTTTGACCTCCGCCATCTGGAACACAGCACCATCATTTACGAAGACCCCCAGCATCACCCACTGCTTCGCCTCTGCTGGAACAAGCAGGACCCTAACTACCTTGCCACCATGGCCATGGATGGAATGGAGGTAGGCCTCTCCCTTGTCCAATCTGCCTTGTGTATTTCAAGAGTAGCTCTCAGATGCTGGCAGTTTTGTGCTCAGTAGATCTTTGGAAATACCAGGAGACATTTTTGGCTGTCAGAAGTTAAAGAGGAAACATAGAGTGTTTTTGCATCAAGTGGGTAATGATCAGGGAAGCTGCTAATCATCCTGCAATGCGCAAACAGTTCCCGGCAGTGTCAGTCTACTCAGAATGCCAAAGGGCCTAGACTGAGGAACCCCGATATACAGTGAGGACTGTGTTCAGCTTCTCCCTGCTTCTTCAGTGAAACAGTTTCTGTAGCTCAGGCTAGCTTGGAGCGTACTGTGTATCCTAGGCTAGCCACAAACTCATTGCAATCGCACTGCTTTTGTGTTAAAGATTTAGCTTATCAGGAAAGTACTTGTCTAGCACACTCAAGGCTCTGAGTTCAATCCCCAGTACAAAAAAAAGATCACACCACACACACACACACACACACACACACACACACACACACACACACACACCCCAACCAGTCAACTTTCAATGGGCATGGTGGTGCACACCTATAACCTCAGAACTTGGGAGGCAGAGACAGGAGGATCTCTGTGACTTCAAGGCCAGCCTGGTCTATATAGATTTCTAGGGCTACATAGAAAAACATTTTCATAATGATAATAATAATAATTTCTGCAGCAGGAACTCAGTGCAGGTACACAGAGTCACCATTTGTTTGTTTGTTTTTCAAGACAGGGTTTCTCCTGGCTGTCCTGGAACTCACTTTGTAGACCAGGCTAGCCTCGAACTCACAGAGATCTGCCTGTCTCTGCCTCTCCAGTGCTGGGATTAAAGGCATGCACCACCATCATATCTTCTTATAGGCACTCACCACAGATGTGTCTAGAGGCCCAGGGCCTCAGCATAGAGACTACATGTGTTTGTTCACTTCTTTCTTTCTCCATCCTCAGGAAATCCTGTCTTTAATATTCTTCAAGTCCACAAATGAAAATATTATGCTTAAAGCTTTGTTTGTTTGTTTGTTTGTTTGTTTGTCCTGCCACACTCTGCAATTCTTGGGCCTTTTTCTTACATTTCTGCAGGTGGTAATTCTGGATGTTCGAGTTCCCTGCACACCTGTCGCCAGGCTAAACAACCACCGAGCATGCGTGAATGGCATTGCTTGGGCCCCACATTCATCCTGCCACATCTGCACTGCAGGTAACCATGATGGGAGGGGGTATCAGAGTAGTGGCGATCCCATTCTTGGCTCCTTTGAATAAAATCCTTGCTGTTTCCAAGGATAGTTTTGTGAGATTGAAGTAGTCTACATTCCAGTTGATCTTGTATATTCAATTGGTCTCAGATCATCTTTTATGACGCTGAGTATCAGGTACAGACCTATGCATATATTTCTGTAGAGGAATATGTACTGTTCCCCCAGGAATCAGGGTTCTTGGAAGAAGAAGCACCCCTATTGGCTATAACAGGGTCTTTGGCACTACCAGGGATCATCTCCCTTGTACCTTCACATAATATTCTCAAAGAAGGGCTTCTTAAAAATCACTGCTTATTAAGTGTTTCTGTTCTAGAAATTATTCAAGTCTGTTATTAAAATGAAAATAATACAGTTATAACAAGGGTAGAAATGATCTTTTTGCTATTTTTGTTTGTTTGTTTGTTTGTTTGTTTTTGCTTTTTTGAGGACAGGGTCTCTCTGTTTAGTCCTGGCTGTCCTGGAACTCACTCTGTAGACCAGACTGGCCTCAGACTCACAGAGATCCTCCTGCCTCTGCCTCCCGACTTGTAAATATTTAATTGAGACCATTAGAAGAAGATAATGAGAGGATGGTGTTGAAGATTGAACCAGGAATACTGAACATGATAGGCACTGAACTATGTCCCCAGTGCCCTATTGCTAGGATTACATGCATAGGTGGAATTTCTTTTAATGGTGTATGTCTATATAGCACGTTATGTCAATCATCAGTACAACTCATTGAAGTGTTAATGTGCATAATAGGGAAGCAGTCATCAGAGAAGCAGCTTTATTTGTAAATTTTTAGTGATGAAAGTGACATCATATTTTAGGGTCATTGCATTTTGTGTCCTCTCCCGATTCCTGATTCCAATGTCCTGATCTAATTCTCTAACCCTGGACAGTGGATGGAGCTTAAGGACCTGCAATGTGGAGTTGGGACCTGGTTGTGAATCCTGACCCTGCCATTCATTGGCTACATGGCATGATGGGGCAAGTGTAACATTGCTAAATCTTGGTTTCCTCATCTCTGAAATAAAGCTCTCTCATAAAGTTTTTGGTGATCAAATGTTTTGCAAATTGTAATTGGCACTCCAAATGCAAGCTTGTTACCACATTGTGGGCAGGAGAGATGGCTTGGAGGTTTAAGAGCACTGGCTGTTCTTCCAGAGGACTTGTTCAAGTCCCAGCAACCACGTGATGACTCACAACCATCTGTAGTGAGATCTGATGCCCTCTTCTGGCCTGCAGGGATACATGCAGACAGAACATTGTAGATCTAATAAAAAACTATCAAAACAAAACAAAAGATTATTACCCCATTGTCTGAGCTATGACAACCTTGCTTGTTTTTTCCCTAGCGGATGACCATCAGGCTCTCATCTGGGACATCCAACAGATGCCCCGGGCCATCGAGGACCCTATCCTGGCCTACACAGCTGAAGGAGAGATCAACAATGTGCAGTGGGCCTCAACTCAGCCCGACTGGATTGCCATCTGCTACAACAACTGCCTGGAGATACTCCGTGTGTAGTCTTGGTGGCACCTCACCTGCCAGGCCGGGGCTTGTGTTTCCGCCTCTGCCCCCTTCCCTCCCCACGTAAGAAGAACATGTTTCCAGTGGCCAGTATGTCTATTGTTGCTTTGCTCCCACTGTGTCCAGAAGCTGCTGTAGGAGTCCAGGCCAGTTGCCCCTCGCTATCTGTGCAGGACTGTGCTGTGTGGCGCACCGCAGCCCAGAGCTGGGTTTTGCGATTTCTCTCCTTTCCTCTTCTTTGCTTCTTCAATTAAACATTTCTGTATATCTGTTTGTCAGCTGTGGTGTTCATGAACAGTACAAGCACTGGCTCTGTCTGTGTCCATTGCCCCATGTCTGTGTGTACTGCCTGAGGCAGTAGTCCGTGTCTTGTCCCCATCCGTGTCCGTGTCCGTGCTAGCACTTAAGTGGGAACAAATGCCAATTTCAAATTGTCTTTCCTCCTGATATCAGTGTCTTTTAACAAACCTCAACTTTGTATATTTTTTATCTATCAGGCTAATTTTTTTATGAAAAGAATTTACTCTTCTTGGTTTCACAGTCCTCCCTCTTTGTACCTTCCTCTCCTCCCTCAGTGCCTGCAGTGGGTACTGGACCCCGGACCCCAAGAGCAGTTTGCCTTCCTGAGTCACTGCCTGCGTGGCACACCCGACCAGGAGTTCAGAACTGCGAGGTGCTCTAGAGGCTTCTGACTCACACCTTTCTCAGTCTGGGTCTCTTGAAGGCCTGACAGGCCCAGCGCAGACATAGGAAAGGAAGCCTTCCGTTCCACCCTCAAGCTCCTCTCTCTCTGGCTTCACACTAATGAGGACCCTGTGGAGCGGAGATAAGCAGTTAGTTGACTAGGGGCCAGGCTGAGGGAGAATTGTTTCAGGAAAGTTGAACTTATGTTGTGTTTCCAGTACCTGGTCTCAAATCTATCTTTCCATTTTAGAACTTGAATGGTAGGCAAGAAAGATCTCTAAGCTAAGCTTCGGTATCTCTGTTGTGTTTCCTCTGCCTAGTGGGATACTGGCTCATCCCTGGATGATGAGAGACTCCTGACCCTGAATAAGATCTTCTGGTAGAGATAGATGGACAGCTGTGGTGACCTCAGGTCAGCCAGCTAAGAGTCTCTACCCCTGTGGCACTGGCCCTCACCTCAGTCTAGGTTCTGAGCAGTATTGGGCTTGGTAGGCTGCAGCTGATCATGCTGACTTACAGGCCACAGGTGACTGTTTCCGTTACATGACTGGGTTCCATGGAGGGGACTTGTATGGTTCTGACTTTAGATGAGTCCCTAGCAGTTTGGGACATGCTCTGGGGAGAGTTTGCCTGGCTCATTTTCTGCTGAGCTACCTGAAGGTTTCTTAGATTCTCTGACACGAGGAGAGTAGTAGGCCTAAAATCTGATGGCTTTACCCACTTAGCTGTCATTGCTGGAGAAGAAAACGTTGACTCATTGTTCTGGGTGCCTGGACTCTTCTGGCTCGCTTCCTACAGCTGATGCAGCTATAATGCCGAAAGCCTTAGAACGCTTCACTACAAAGGGGCTTGTCCCAAAGGAAAGGCATTTTCAGTCGGGGTATTTCCCCTTGGTGTTTCTGGTTTGTCACTCTGATTTCTGGTCTCTGGCTGGCTTGAGATTAATGTCCGTGTGCCAGCATGTGCTTTGCCCTATATCGTTTGCAGGTAGAGCACGATTTGTGGTTACCTCTGCTTTTAGTGGTGTATGCTAGCTAGTACAGGGCCCTTGAGGGTAGCAGGCACGCTGATGGTTGCTCCTATAGGAGCCCCCAGTGTCTTCCTGTGCTGAGTTTACAGTGGAATTCTGAGTGGTAGTGGGGCCTGCTGAGAAGGGCCTCTGTGATCTGGGTGGGCTTTAATCTGGGCTAAATGATGGAACTTGTCAACTAGAACTTGAAAACAAGGTTTTTAAAAGTTAATAGTTACTAGAATAAACTTGTTTGAGGTGCTTTGGAAACCAACCACCTGTGATGATCTTTCCTCGCTCTGAGGATGCTTGTCATCTTTCTTTAGCCTGCTTTCTCTGCCCTCCATTTGGTAAGACTCTTGCTGTCTCCGTCTTCAAATACGCATGCACCCACAGTTGCAGGGTTGCTGGCATTTGAAGTGCCAGCTTCCTCACCTTCCCTTTAGAGCATGGATAGGTGGCCCTGTGCCTGAGGAAGAGCTTTCTGTATCCTTGAGATACAGAAAGTCCCTTAGTCTGCCAGAAGCACAGATCTACTAAAGTTAAGTTTGACAGATCTTAGACTGACAGGGGGTGGGTGGGGACCTCCAGACCCATTCTCCTCCAGGGGCTGCAGGCTCTGGTGTTGCTGTGGTGGGTGCTGTTGGGACTGAGCTGGAGGCAAAGGCTGTGCTTTCTGTGTCTGCTGTGTGGGAGGTTGCACGCTCAGATTAATGGAGCTGAGCTGCTGAGCGCGTGTGAGGCTTTCATGGACTTGAGCTTTTCCACATGGCAGATTGGATGTCTCTCCTGGCCTGAAAGGTTAGGGCTTGAAGTGTGATGACACCTGACAACTGGGTGATAATTTTCTATCAAAATCAGAATTGGGTACAATTCTGGCTACAGTTCAGGAAGAACAGAAGAAAAAAATAAATCAGAATCCCAGTGTTTTGATCATTACAGTTGAAATTTGCTATTTTAGGGTGTGGGAGAAAATCAGTTCTTCAGGTCAGAGGAAATACTAGAGAACATAGGGCCCAAGGGGAAAAACATCCAGAGTGTCTAACTCATAGCTGTGAAGTGAGCCTGTACCTCAACCTAAGTAGGCCTTCCAGTGCCATTAATCAGACATCTGTGTCACTGGGTAACTAGGAAAGGGGTGACAGCTAGGGGCAGATAGCACCTTCGTATAGCAGGGCTGCTATAGGTGATGTCTGTGGTTAAAATCTAAGTATTGGGTGTCCTGTGGCAGTACATGATGACACTGTGTTGTTTTATTTTGTTTGAGACAGGGTCTTGCAGTGTGGGCCAGGCTGTCCTTGCACTTAGGATCCTCTTCCTTCAGTCTCCCTGAGTGCTGGGATCACAGGTGTGTGCCACTATCCCCAGCAGTCATGGTTCTTGTAGATCCCTCTTCCTTTATCTTCCCTTTGCCTTTTCACTTTTCATTTTGTGTGTGTGTGTGTGTGGGGGGGGGTGATGGGGATCAAACGCAGGCCCTCACACACGATAGGCAAGTGTTCTACCATTGAACTACACCTCCAGCGCCTTCTCTGTCGCTTTCCTTTTCTTCTATTACCTTTCCTCTATAGAATGCTCTCCCGGATGTATCCTGAGCCCTAGATTCCTAGGCTGTAAGGACATGTAAGACTCCCGAGTTTACCAAGCATGGGCGCAAGTCCAGAACTGCCCCCTAACTGTCCCATTTTGAAAATATGGCAGTTCCTTTGTCACCTGGCTTAGGATAGAGAGTACCGTTGCTGTAGAGGCCTCAAAGCGTTCCTTTAGAACCTGTGTCAGGATGAGGAAGGTGGGGCATGCTTGGCATTTAGGTTGGGTTTTCTGAGAGGAGAGCTGACCTGAGCAATGTTACCATGAACCCTGAGCCAGGCTTTCCCTAAGTTGTCCTCTGCTCTGGTGAGGCCGAAGCTGCGTGCCTCACGTCTTATCTTGTTCACCTCACCCAGCTGCGTCCTCTCTTCCTCCCATACTGTCATTGCTGCTAATGGTCAGATTGTCAAGCATGTGGCATTATGGGATAAAGGAGCTTCTTGGGCTGCTATCTGGGTGTGGCTCTTTAAATATGGAAACATGCAGATGTCTTCTCCAAGAGGCTTGGACTAATGTGTCAACCAGAAACAATAAGCTAAGGGAAGTTTGAACTCCAGAAGAAAGATGTTGACAGTTTGGGTGACAGCTGGAAAATGTATGAGCATTCACCTTTGGGACAACTCAGTGGAGCTGAACTGTGCTTTCAACTTCTATTGAAGAAATGTTCTCACCTTGGGCTGATTGTGATGTACAATGTGTTAGAAAACTGTTGACCTGAAGCTTTGAATTGCTTTAGTCAAAAGAGTCACTTGCTTTGGTCCCATGTGTTTTATGACCCCCTCTGTCAGTGACTTTCCCTTGCCCCACCCTGAGTGTGAATTATAGCATGATTGTACAAACCTCTATGTAGAAAATGGAAATTTCTTGTTCTACAAAATGTTAAACTCTAACTGATCCATGTCTGTGCCCTTTAGCCTCATGTGTACGAACTTACTTTCTTAAATATTTAAACATCCCTTCTGTTCTAAAGCTTTTGTGGAATCCCTTGTTCAGGTGGAGAGGAAGCTACCCCTTTGCAGAACTGTACTGTAACCATTTCTCCTTTATAAATATTATTTTCACAGGGCTGATTGTATACAGGGCTTGTAATAAAATTTTAACACTGTGCTGTGAATGAGCTTAGGATTCTCCACCAGAGGCGACTTGAAAAGCACCCGAGAGTGGAGTGTTCTTTCTGTGACTTTACTTCTTCCTGCATACATTAAGTCTATTCGTTCTGTTTCAGCCTCCTGTATAAGAAGTACCGTATTTTCTGCCCATCATACTTTGTAATAAAACTTGAACATGTATAGATTGAATTTCTTCATGTGATGAATTCACTTCTTCCCAGTTTGTTCTTATGGTCATGCTTCAGAGTTCACCTCAGTTCAACACAGTGCTCTGATGGCCCTTGTGTCTCCCCGTTCACTCACTTCAACTAAGGCAACATGGACACCTACTCCCCACCAACAGCCATAACCCTCGGTTTGCCTATATTTTGCCAAAGGGATATCCACAAATTTGTAGTGTTCTGCAGTAGTGGGGCTGTGTTTAGGAGCCCTGAGGCCCTCCTGTCAGTGTGAGCCAGAGTGGGCCAGGGAAATGTCACAGGATGAAGGATGTCTGATTTGGGTTTTGAAGACTTAAGTAGGAGTTGTCTGGAAATGGGGAATGCCATTTAAGGCAAAGGGAGTAGTCATATGCAAATGTATGTGAATAAGAAAGGGTATGGTCACATTCAGCGAATTAGCAGTCAATGGATGTGTGTGAAGAACAGTGGGAAGTGTGACTAGAGAGGGAAGCAGCAACCAGATCAGGGGGAACCCTGCACTTTGCAAAACTTTTGGGTCTTAACTTGTGTGAGACTTCTGAAAAAAATAGAGGTTAATGAGGATCTGACTTTTTTAAGTTTACTTTCTTGACACGGGGTCTCTGTAACTGGGGTTAGCCTTGAACTTACTGTGTAGCCCAGAACTTTGTATCCTCTGTCTCTAAGGTGCTGGGA